ATGAGAGATAGAAATTACAGATAATCATGACTAATTAACCATGATGATCTATATTTTGAAAAATTGAACAACATACAAAAATTAAGATGATCTATATACATCTTATATATATACTTACTTTCTTCCGAGGGTCTGTTCCTAAAGGAGTCTGAATTAGCAAGAGATAAGCACGTAAAGAACAAAGCCATAACAAATTTGGAGACTGCCATGTTTTTCTTTCTTTCTTTTGCTATATTACGCGGGCACACTTTGATTGACAGTAAAGTAGATCGAAACTGGTGGACTACGCTTTCTAGCTCTGTCGGATGGCTTAAATCACTCTTGGGATTAGTCGGATGGCTTAAATCGTTCTGGACAAGATCACATAATCAGTCATATATAATCGTTCTAACCGGATCACTAGCTCAAGATTATCAAAAGAAAAGTATATTGAAACTGTTTATGCGTATTTAGAAGAAAGAGGTTCTGGTGTGAAGGATGTGTGAGTTTAAGCGCATAAGTATATACATAGTGATGATGGCAAAAAATAGTCACGCAAAACTATCATCACGAAATTTAGAAAATTAAATGTTGACAGCCGGTTGCAAATACTAACAGTGTATGTTACGTAAGCGCATAAGTATACTGGACAGATTTACTTGGCTAGGAAAAGTTGTGGAAAATCGGGTACCATCAAGTGACAAGTGTGGACATATTATAATGTGGAGAATTGCTCCGAAAATGTAAAGTCCAGTGAATATTTTAATCCAAGACGTACGTACCAAGTGCTGTGATGACTGTTTTTTCCATAAACGACCACAAATGAGTATAATTTGACTTCGGAGGTAGGAGCATAAGTTTTTATTTATTTTAATATCTTCTCGAAATAACAGTGCAATGGTTGTCCATCATCTATAGCTTTTGTAGTATACTAGAAGATTTTTGAAAAGGAATATGAGTTGGAATCTCAATGTTGAATTGTTGAGAAAGAAAACGAAAGGAATATGTGTTGGAATCTCAATGTTGAATTGTTGAGAAAGAAAACTAATTTACATGATCTAGTCTCTAG